CAAATCTGGGGTTTAATCCCAGGTGTGTACCACACCTGACCATAAACTGTGGGTTGTCTGTGACTGGATATCAAAGCAGTAATGCTGCAACTGAACCTTAGAAAGCAAAGAATTTATATGAAATTAGTTAAATCACAGCATAAGTCACAACATATAAAAATATACTAAATTAGCCAGGCATGAGTGTTTAAATCTGTGCTTCCCCAAAAACAGTATCTGCAGAAATTAGCCAAAAGGGTCCAACTACACATTGGATAAGAGTCCTATAATCAAATAATCTTGGGAAACTCTGGGTAAAACAGAATGCAGCTGACACACAGTAAATGTTCTATAAATATTAATTATGTATCTCAGAGACTTTATTACAAAAATGTACACTGTATCCCTTGGTGAAGGGGAGACAGTATTCACCGTTTTCTAAAAAGTACTGGTATTTCACCACAGAAAACCCCGACACGCTTTATTCACATGAAATATTTCTAGGATGAGAGTTCCATAGAACAAACTTACAGCATGATACGCAATCACCGTTCAATACTAACATACTCAATTTGCCCAAATGGACTGGCTGCCATACAAGTAACAACTCCACACAACTGAAACAGACTATGTATGGAATCCTGGGGAAAATCTACATTTAATAGAGCTGTGATTCCCCCAAAATGGATTTGTAAATATCCCACCCAGGAAGCTAAAACCAATTCTTGAGAATCCTTCCTCTTCTTTCAACTCCAAATTGGAATCAAAAGCTGTTGACTCCAACTGCCACCTCTGCTTACTCCTTAAAGCCATGAAATGTAGGTCTTAACAACAGATCTGAGTGACACAATGAAAAAAGGAAAAAAAAATTTTATTCAAGTTTTTTTTCTAATCTGAATATAGCATTTTTAATCCAAGAACCATATATTAGTTTATATAAAGACTGAAGTACAGCATTAAACAATGCCCAGAATACTATGACTTGGTGCTAACATACCAAATGGAATTACAGATGCCTTAAATAGTCATCCCAAATTAGAAAATAATGTGTTAAGGTTGTACTTGAAGTCATGGGCTGAGAAATACATGAAGGAGCAAACAATAGCAGATACACACTTCCCAAAGGAAGAGATACTTATATATTATGTTTATTTTCCCCTCTGTGCTCTAGATTTGTCTGAAAATAGTTCTTGATAAAGGAATTCCCTCCTCACTCCTAGGAGCCAGGCTTTTATTTCTAAGGTTTGGTTTGAAACAAAAAGTCCCTTTTCTCTAGTGTGGTTGGGTGAGAGCGAAGAGAGAGAAAGAGAGAACGTAGCCTACCGAGGCCACCATTCCAAAATGACTACTGTTTTTAATAATCTAAGAAAGTCTAGAGGATTCCCAGAGGGTCAAAGGAAGATTTAAGAAACTCTTGCACGAGAGGGAAGTGACCTAGCAGTGGAGAAGAGATGGGGTTGGGACAGGGGTTACATCCCCTCATCAGGGAGAAGACAGTGAGGCCAGGTTCAGGAATAATGTGCTACTTGCAAGCTGTGCCTGAGTGATGCCAACACTTCAAACAATGGATAATGCCCAAGGACAAGGGACTCAGCACCAGGGCTTAGAAGAAGGACAAAGTTCCCTGGAGCTAAGCCTGGAGCCCACAGAGAGGAGAGATGTGAAGCCATCTCAGTGGCCTGCCCCAGTGCAGCACTGCCTAAGAGAGAGAGGTCTCTACAGCAGAGGGGACAGAAGGACAATGGAGACCTGTGTCAGTCAGTTACTAGGGGTCTCCTCATCCTATTTCCTAAGTGCTACAAGTTTCAGGTTCATCTATAGCCCAGGGATTCAGCACAACAAAAACTGACACCTGGCTTCTCTGTAACTTTACCCTGAGGAGACTTACAGCCAGATTTTACATGATTGTTTTAAATAAAGATATAATATAGCTTGCCCATCAATTTTACGAAAACATGTATAACTGTATTATGTGAACATTCCTGTAATCCCTTTCTAAGGAAAGGCATCTTTTACTGCTTCTTTTTGAGAAAGAGGGAAGGATCTACCCAATTACATTTTGAAGAATCTATAGGAATTTCAACTGAGGCCAAATTCTGGAGTTTGCTTCACTGAGAGACATTAGGATCTGGGGAAATAATGTCACCCACAACCACTGCCCTAAATGTTTTCACTTACTTGAAGCTGCCACGTTCCACTTCTTGATTTTCCCTTATATGGCCCAACTTCTGGGCCGTATCATCATGGCGTAACCGCTGTTTCCAACGTCTGTGGGCATCACCCACCATCCGAGGTTTGGGCATCACTCAGGCACACCTGCTAGTAGCATGTCATTCCCCAACCCCAACACTTTCATCCTCTTTCATCTTTTTATCCTTGAAGCACAAGTTTCTAATATCTTCCCTTGAAGATGGCCAGCAACAGAGCTTCATGTCCGTTGCCCCCAGCCCCATGAGGCCCTGGTAACTTCTCCAGGCTGTCATCTTCAACCGGCAATCTAATTCAGTAGGTAAGAGTCAGATACAGACAGATCTGTATCTGAACCCCAGATATACCACGTCCTGGCCATATGACCTGACCTGCAGTAACCTACCACTTTAACTCTGAGTTGTCTCATCAGTAAACTGGAAACATTGAAAGTGGCTATCGGAAAGGGTTGTTGTGAGGATACAATGGAAAATGATGGAAAACTCTAAGCACGATGTTGAACATATAATCAGTACATGATTATTAGCTATTATTAACAGTAGAAAATTTAAGACACTGAAGAAATATTCAGTTAACACCATAACTGCCTTCAGTACGTTAATGACTAGCAATGTGGTAAGCACCATGTTTAATGTTATGAATTCACCAAGCTTCTAAGTTACTTAGCTTTATTAAGTTTCTTGTGAGTTTTAAAATAACTTGCCTTTACCACACAAAGAAGAAAGTCATATATTGGAGGCAAGACTAATAACTTCCAGAGCAGTTATAAGTATAGCATACAGAAATACAAATTCAGATTTCAGATTTCAAACTACCATGATAAAAAATATCCCAGCCATCATGTAAGTGTCATCATTTTTAGGGTTTCATTTTTAAAATAATGACTTGATTACTAGAACTAGTTTGTTAGAGAAGTTCTAGCCCATGTGTCAAATTCCTAACATTATGTGTGGAAGATTATAGTAAACAATGAGCAGAAAATGTCCCTGGCAACATTCAAAGACATAATTCCTATTCAGGCATCAATCCTGAAACAGATTTTTGAACCCTTGACCAATAAATCTAGTCAGTGCTGTGCTGATAAGTATTGAACAACCAGCTCTCAAGAGGCACTGATTTGTAGTATTTGCCGATTCCCATAATGTAAATACTCCACTGCGGCCCATTTCAAATGAACAACCAGTTCTCAAAAGCCAGCGCTAGCCAACAGCAGCACACCACTTAGATCCAGAGTAGTATTCAAGATGGTAATGTAGTCCACCTCAATAGGACTGTCTATAAGGGAACCAAAGAATTAACCCACAAGTAAAGGGGAAGTATAGATAAATGATACACAGATTTTCTAAGAAGCGACTGAAGCAGTTTTCAATGAGCTAATTCCATAGGCAATATCCAGGCTGTTCTCCTTTTAACGGCAACCCTGTCTCACTGAGTGCTGGTCCTCTCTGCACAGGCAGTGGCACAACCCAGCCTTAGATCACCTTCTTCTACACTGACGCCACTACCCTCTTAAGATTCATGCTAGACTGAACGAAGTCCTTCCCAAGCTACCTGGGTCCTCAGGTTCTCTCTGTATTCATTTCATACCATTTACCAAGAAATAATGGCTTTCTTCCTTAATTTCCCTTCTAAGACTTGCTGTCTTCCCATCTCTCTCATCTGTCAGCCCACGCCTATAAAATTCCTCCAGCCTGTAATGCAAATACAGTTTCTCTATGAACAAGAAGGAATTAACTATCTGTTTAGTTTGCTTATCTGCTCTTTCATTTGGGAACAGAAGAACTCAGCTTTTAGGAATATTTGGAAGACTGCAGGAAAACCAAAATACTATTTCTCAGTCTTCCTTTCAGCTTTGAATTCCAGGACACCCCATGACTCCTTCATGGCAGGGACTTGGGACTCACCAAATTTAAGTATTTTAAAAAGTAGAGTTTATAAATGAAAATAAATTTCATGACCTATTTCTCTGTTAATTCATAATGCTGCAATGAAATCTGCTTTATGGCTAAAAGACAATCGTCAATTCTCGAATCTCTCTGCACGTTACACTAAGAAGGCAAATTACAGTATTTCTATGTCTTAAAAAAAAAAGAAAAAGAAATCCATTACCAGATGAAAGCATCCTGTGGGTGCATGTTGGTGAGGACAGCACAAGACTGTGACTGCACCTAATGCCACTGAACTTTACACTTAAAAATGATTAAGATGGTACATTTTAGGTCATGTGTTTAACACTATTATGCATGACAAATGTTATGTATACCAAACAACTTCTGAAAAGTTTTTTTAAATGTAAAGAAAAAAAAGAAATCTATTAAAGAGAAATTCTGCTCCTTTGAGTTTCAAGTAAGACACTAAACCAGAGGTTTAAAAAAAAAAAAATCCTTTAGGAGTGCCTAGGTCTCGTTACAGACTTTGAACACAAGGACACTGAGTGTCGAGAAAGGATGCTTTTGCTCTGCTCAACATCAACACTCCTTTTCACAAAGGTCTCTCCTATTCATTACAATTCACTTCCGGGGCTCACGTGAAGGGATGTGGTTTCATCTGGAAAAGGAACGGTCAGAAAGTCAGAACATACTGCATTCTTTGCCTCTCACTGGGTCAGGCAGGCCAGAGCAGTCCACGGCAGAATTCGGAATGGCAACTCTCCACCTGGAGCCACTGCTGTCGCATTCTGTGTATTCAAAGTGGTAATCTTTCTGCAAAGAATCACAAAAACAAGCTTTTGTTAGAGCCGGTTTTAATGGGACAACTGTGCTTTCTCAGTTATCCCCCAACTTGCCTGTCAGCCTGGTTCCATGTACTCTCTGGTTGATTCTCATTCTCCCCCAATTCAATCCACACTGAGAAGTTTTGTGAGCAAGAACGGATCCTGCCAGGCACTGAGTTGGTGCCAAGGATATGACGAGGGTCAAGACAGCCAGTGTCTCACCATGTGATCATTGACCTTCAGTCTCACTCACTCCAAAAGGCTACAGCACACCACTCTATTTTTTTGCAGGCTTTTTGAAGCTCTAAATAATTGATAGATATGAATCTAAGAGCAAAATAACCCTAAGAAATTGAAAGCTATCACTGTCTCAAGTCTTTCCAAAAAAAAAAAAAACAAAGAAGAGAACCATTCCCAATGACCTAATTTTTCCCTCTGTGTAAAATTTAACAGAAGGTATAATAACCAATCATCCAAACACAAACTAAAAGGCTACCAGGCTCAATACACTCCTTTCACAGCAGGCTCCCCTCAATTACAGACTATAAAATGGACCATTTATTACAACTGCCAAATTAAGACCAACCCACTTGTCTCTGGCCTCTGGTTGCTTAGACATCTTCACAGTGACCGCCCTTGGTCAGAGCACATTACACAGCTGAGATGCCTGGGCTGAGAGGAACGAGGACAAAATGTCACTGGAGCATTTCAAGAGTGAGAGAAGTTCTAAATCTACTCCCAAACATGTTCAGGTTCACCATCTTACAAGTTGCTAGTCTGCTTCATCTACTCTGTTTGCCTCCATTGTTCTACCAATGACAGAAGTGAAAGGGAATACCACCATATCACCATTAAGGAAACCGGGTGTGGGAGGTGAGGGTTTCTGTGTGTGTGTATACGGGTGTGTGTGTATACGGGGTGTGTGTGTGTGTGTGTGTGTGTGTGTGTGTGTGTTACACCTGGAAAGAACACCAGTTAAGAAGTGGATTCTGGAATCAGACAGGTCTGAGTCTGAATTCACATCCCGTTCCTCCACGTACAATCTATGTGATATATTACGTAAGCCACTTCTCAAAGCATCCATTTCTCATTGGTAAAATTAGAATAATAATATTTTCTATCTTGTATGGTTCTTGTGGAAATTGAGATAGTGCATGTAAAATGTTAGGCAGTTAAGCTACATTGGTTTAGCCTTGCTGAGTGGTAGAATTACCATCCTTATTAAGGACAATGAGGGTACAGAGGACAATACAAAGGAAGGGACTGGCAGTGACACAGTAAGGCACAAACTGCCTGAGTGTGTTTCCCTTGCTTCAATTTCCGCAGATACAGAAGATAAAATGAGGAAGGAATGAGAGTTAGAGAAGGTGTAATTACCAGGCTAGAAGGTGTAATCACCAAAGGTCTGTATGCCACATCAGACTCTCCTCCAGAAATAAAATTTAGTATATCCTTTGGGCCATCATCTCTGAATAGCATTTTTCCCACTCAAATTTTTTTTTACAAAGTTTGGTAACAGACAATTTGAGATTAAGTTATTTGACAAGAGTCTGGATTTCAAGTACGTTTTACTGCCAATAAAGGGCAAACTGACATACCTATTAAAAAAAAAAACAATAAAAGCCACCAAATGGGAAAGGCTTTCCAGAGGGAAAGATGGGAAGGAGGAGGGAGGAAAGGAAGAAGTAAAGGAAGGAAAAGAGGGACAGAGGAAAACACAATGAAGTCACTGACTTTGACAACACACAAATGTTAAACACTGTACAGCAAAATGCATCATAAACAAAAGTAAAAGGTAAACAACAAAACGATGAACTGGTGAAGAAACACACAACAGAGGTTAATTAATTTAAGAATCCTGGGTCTCTGAAAATCAGGAAGAAAAAGGACAAATAACTATTTGGAAATATGGTCACAGAACACAAGCAATTCATTAAAGAATGATACAAATGCCCAAGGGGTCTGTGGAAAAAGGTGAACCTTGCCCAAGAAACACAAATAATGATCTCCATCAAGCTGCCATGACACTTAAAATTTTTTTAAAACTCTCTAAGGTAACAGGACAGTAAAATGAGTACTCATGTGCTTCCAATGAGAGAATAAAGTGGTACAGGCTTTTGGGAGAAAAATATGTCACATGTATCGAAAGCTTTCAAGTGTTCAAAAATCTGACCACAAAATTCCACTTCCAGCATCAAGTTTAAGGGGGAAAAGATGTTTCATGTGTTCCGCTATTTACGTACAAAATCGCTCATGATAACTTTGCTATAGGTTAAGGGAATGTTATTAACAGGTGAGAATCATAGAATCTTACGTTTACATTATCCAGTAGTTTTCACATGTATTTGTATCATTAAATACTCGTAATAATTATGTGGATTAGGGAAGACAGTTAAAACTATTCTCACTGTTTAAACTGGGTGATTTACTCAGCGACATCCAGCTAGTAAATGGCATAGCTGAGAGCAGAAGTCAAGCCTTCTGTTTATTTACCAGTGTTTTCAGTTTCTATAACACCATTGTGCTTAAAATAGAAGGTTACTGTTTTAAAATAGAAGGAGTGGGCAAAGTTTTGAATACAAAAGCCTGACAGTTACAGAAGTCTAAAAGTAATCTTAGGATGTCTCACACTGGAACAGAACCCAGGAGCCCACAGAGAAGCAGAAATTTCTGTATTAGTTTTCTAGGGATGCTGCCATGAATTACGACACCCTTAGCCACTTCAGATCACAGAAATTTATTCTTTCACAGTTCTGGAAACAGAAAGTCCAAAATCTGTACCACTGGGCCAAATTAAGGCATTGGTCAGTCTGCTCCCTCCAGAGGCTCCAGGGGAGAATCCCTGCCTTGCCTATTCAAGTTGCTGGTGGCTGCTGCCGTTCGTTGGTTTATTGGCTGCACCACTCAGTTTCTACCTCTGTGGTCACGCTGCCCTCTCCTCTTCTGTTGTATCTCCCTCCATCTCATTCTTATAAGGACACTTGTGATCGCATTTAGGACTCACATAGATTGTGAAAAATAATTTTCCCCTCTCAAGATTCTTAACTTATTCACATCTTCGAAGTCTTTTTTTCTGTAAAAGATAAGAATTTGTAGGTTCCAGAGATGAAGATGTGGATATCTTTTTTGCAGGGGAATGCATTACTCAGCCAA